CCCTCGGGGGGTGTAATTCCTGCGATGAGTCCCTAAGAAGGGCGCAGTCTTCTTTTGAAGTGCATGAGTGATTAGTTGTTGTAAGCATGCAACCAAGCCAAGTTGTGATTACTTCTAAATTCCTCATTGAAAAACGAGTGAAACGAACGAGAACTTTAGCTGTAAGGTAGGAACTGCATAACAACTGGATAGTCCTCAGCTTGTGAGGTGGTGCCCGTCGAGCTTATTGAGTCTTCGGGTTTTGATGTAGCGGGAGGTCACACATGGTACTTCTTCAGATTGTAGGCCATCCATTTCTTTTCAATATTTTTGCCGCTTCATGGTGGTGAGGGTGTAATTACTCTTGCCCCATACTCTGCTGATCTTGTACGGACCTTCCCATATGGGATCCATCTTTTTGGAGCCTTCTCTGCCGGCAGTGATGAAGGCTTTTCTGCGTCGTCGACATGCAAATGCCAGAAGTATCCATCGGGTGGAGTAGGCGCAGCTAGAGTGTGCTCGGCTACTTCTGAGGCATCGTTGGGCCGCTCTGTTGCGTCACCTAGGCTCGGCGTGAAGACGCAGTAGGGAGCTGTGGAGATGAGGCCATGTCATACGCAACAGGAGATGCTCAACTGCCGGTACTGGGCCACTCTAGAGTTGAATCGTTGAGCAAGGGTCGGCTAGGGCCGTGTGATGCGCAGCAAGAAATGGTACTCAACTGCCGGTACATGTTGCTCCTATGTAGAATCTTTTAGGGTGACGAGGACAAAACTTGCTTTCGAGTGTGTCCTTCCAGTGTTGCGTTCGTCAGAAAACTTTACATCCGTCAGGGTCTACGCCTTTATCGTCGCGCGTCTGGATTGGGCAGAATAGTACGTCATTAGGATGATTGCATGCGTTTGAAAGTAAAACTTGTGCTTCTGGGTTGCAACAACTATCGCTAAAGTTAGCTTTTGAATTTTTAATAACATCGAGGAGAGCTTTTGAACTGTAGAATACAGGTAGTCGGGCCCCCATCTCTTCTCGCATGATGGTAGAGCTTATTGCTACTTTAGATACCGTCAAACATGTGAATAAGTCCTCCGCTGCTTCTAGGGAGGTGATGTCGGGTACTTCTTCAAGTCCTTGAATGTGCATTGGCGAGCCTCATCCTAAAGTGCATACTTATCTGCCAAAGCAAAAAAGTCTACCAGAGTTAGATCTTCTTTCATGATCAATTTTCCGAATAACGGGTGGTCTGCTGGAAGTCCTTTTTGGAAGGCTGCTCTAGCTATCGAGTCGTTGCATCCGACTATTTTTGCCTTCTCTACTTTGAACCTCCTCACATAGTCGCGAAGTGACTCTTTTGGGTTCTTCTTGACGTTGAACAAATGATCAGATTTCTTTTTGATCGAGCGATAGGATGAATATTCTTTGGTGAAAACCAAAGAAAGTTCGTAGAAATTTCGGATGGATTGTGGCGGCAGGGTGTAGAACCAATCTTGCGCCTCGCCTTGTAGAGTGGTGGCGAATATCTTGCACATAAGCTCATCGTTGTTTCGATAAAGGATTATTGCGCTTCGTTAGCGCTTTAAGTGTCTCTCCGGGTCTTCATCCCCTTTGAAAGATGTGAAATGTGGCATGCTGAACTCTCGTGGAGGCTCTGCCTGCTCGATCTCGTCCGTGAAGGGTGACCTGCTTATGTTGGTCATGTTCCGTCGTAGTGCCTCATCGATGACCTCGTTGCGTTGGAAATCATGCAATCGCTTGGTCAAGAGTCTCTCTACTTCTTCCTAAATTTGCTTTTGTTGGGGTAGCGGAGCTCTCGGCTGCCCCCAGTCATGACTTGCTGGTCTAGGTTGCTCTTCCATGTGTTTGGCTCGTCTATGTCGCGGATGCAGTGCATGTGGTGCGTTCCTAGTAGGCGAGCGAGTTCTTCGCAGGCTGCTGGTTGAACTTGAGCTGGATTGAGTGACTGCTTCTCTCCGTCCGTCGTGCTGCCTACTCTGATGTGAGGTGGATGACGCTCATTGTGGGCTTAGCTGCGAATAAACACTTTGCCCGGAAGGTTGTTCATGTTGACTATCGGAGTATGACCCCAACCGTGAATGTATGCTCCTCAATGGGCCTAGTCGAGAGTGCATGCTCCTTCGTGCTCTAAGACGGGAATGTACACTGCCCAAACATTCGGCTCGTGGCTGGTCGAGTGGCTGCTTCCCGGGATGCTGCTGGAAATGTCCGTCTGCACGTTGGATCCCGATGCGTTGCAAAAGTTGATTCACCAAGGTTGTCTGTTGTGCAAGGGCGCTCGTCAACTCTATGACTTGTCGAGACAAGTGTTGTTCGCCATTTGGATTGGAAAAGCTTGGAAGGAATGCGACTCCTTGGGCAGTGGAAGAGTGGTAGACTCCGGGCGCGAGATTTGAGTTGGGAAATGTCAAATCCGCTAAAAAATATGGTGAGAATGCTCCCGGCTCGATAGTAGGTCCAGATGGTTGAGATAGTCTTGGGCTGACTTGGGCTGCTTGGAAAGCCACGGGAGCAGTCTGGGCCTTGAGAGTGGGCTGCTCGTCGGGAGTAGGCTGGGTCACGAGAGCAGACTGCTTGGCAGGAGTAGGTTGGGCCGTGAGAGTGGGCTACTCGACGGAAGCAGGCTGGACCACGGGAGTGGGCTGCTCGTCGGGAGCAGGCTGGGCCACGAGAGCAGGCTGCTTGGTAGGAGCAGGCTGGGCCACGGGAGTGGGCTGCTCGACGGAAGCAGGTTGGGCCACGGGAGTGGGCTGCTCGATGGAAGCAAGCTGGGTCACGAGAGCAGGCTGCTTGGCAGGAGCAGGTTGGGCCTTGAGAGTGGGCTGCTCGACGGAAGCAAGCTGGACCACGGGAGTGGGCTGCTCGTCGGGAGCAAGCTGGGTCATGAGAACAGGCTGCTTGGCAGGAGCAGGCTAGGCCGCGAGAGCAGGTTGCTTGGCGGGAGCAGGCTGGGCCATGGGAGTGGGCTGCTCGACGGAAGCAGGCTGGACCACGGAAGTGGGCTGCTTGTCGGGAGCAGGCTGGACCACGGGAGTGGGCTGCTCGTCGGGAGCAGGTTGAGTCATGAGAACAGGCTGCTTGGCAGGAGCAGGCTGGGCCGCGAGAGCAGGTTGCTTGGCGGGAGCAGGCTGGGCCATGGGAGTGGGCTGCTCGACAGAAGCAGGCTGGACCACGGAAGTGGGCTGCTTGTCGGGAGCAGGCTGGACCACGGGAGTGGGCTGCTCGTCGGGAGCAGGCTGAGTCACGAGAGCAGGCTGGGCCACGGGAGTGGGCTGCTCGACGGAAGCAGGCTGCTCAATGCGCGGTGCATGTGAATGCGAGGCTTGGGCTTGGGTCCACGTAAACTTGGATGACACGGCTTGGGTCGTGGTCTTGGTACCGTGAGCCTTGGATGGCACGGCTCGGGCCGTGGTGAAAGCTCCATGGACCTCGCCACGAATGGCTACCGAAGTAGCCACCGCGATGGTTCACATGGTGGCCGTGGTGAAAGCTCCATGGACCTCGCCACGAATGGCTACCGAAGTAGCCACCACGGTGGTTCCCATGGTGGCCGTGGTGAAGGCACCATGGACATCGCCGTGGGTGGCTACCGAGGTAGCCACCGCGGTGGTTCCCATGGTGGAAACTTGTGGTGGTGATGCCGCTCCCCTTATTGTCGCATTTTGCCTAACGGATCTCCGCAATCCCATTTCTTGTATATTAGAATTTTCACTTATGGAATTTTCTAAATTTCTAGCCATTATATTTTGCTTATACGTTTTATCAAAGAACCTTTGCAAGTAAAAAATTCTAATAATAAGAACGTATGAAAAATATTCAAATGGACTAGAAAATAAAGAAAAAACCTTTTTGTGCGAGAGTCTTCTACGAGTATGGATTTCAACTCTCAATGAAAGCACCAATTTGTGGATGCAAATTTCTTCCTCCTCGATCTTGGATGATTTTGCACCTACAAAACAATTAACACCTTAGGTTAAGGCCAAGAGCCTCACGCGCCCACGATGAATGGGGGGGCTTTGGCCGAAGAACCTCCGATGCCAAAGTTAGAATTTAGAGAGAAAGAGTGTTTAGAGAATTTTGGAATTTTTGCCAAAGTGTTGGAATTAGCTTTTTGGTGAGAATGGGAGTATATTTATAGGGATAGGAGGTGGCTAGGGTTTTTAGGTTTAATTTAGGTTTAATTAGCCAATTTATTTGGCTATTAAACATAAGATGAATGTTTTGGTGGTTTTTGAATTTATTGGGTAATAAAAAGGAAGAAATAGTGAAAAAGGTAGAAAAAGTGATGGATTAGGTTTTGAAATGGGGATAGCCGGCCATGTGGTGTTTTAGGGTTGAATTGGATGTATTTTGTAGTTATTTGGATATAATGGATGGTTTAATTGACAATTAATGGGTTAATTAGGCAATAAACCCATTAATTAGCCAATTAACATAATTTAAAAGGAATGTGTTTGGGAATTACCTTGTAGAAAGGATTTGATGAGATGGACTTTGAATTGTTACCTATTTTGGGCACTTCTGTCTTGGTTGAAAGAGGGTTGCCCGCTGCTTGCGCGTAGGAACCTCGTTGTACTGCAAGGGTATTTTTGACATTTTTGTCCAAAAATCCACGTGTCGCCCTGTGAATATTTTTGGCTCCACAAAAGCCTAGTATTATCTATACACCTATTTTTACTTCTCATATGTCTATTTCAATTTTTTACTTTTATTTAGATCAAATGAATTGAAGAATATCAATTATTAAAATGTAATAACGATGCATTACAGATAAGATGTGTGTGTGAATATCACTCCCAAAAAAATGAAAAGTATGACTACACATCGTTAGTGACACCGAGATTGACTATGTTAGTTTTTTAAGGTTGAACAAACAACTACAATGGGAACCCAAGAAAATTGTAACTTGACCATCACGAATGGACTTTTTTTTCCCTTTTTTATAAAAGGAACCAGCAAGCAGTTTTGCTACGACAGTCCATCATTTCAAAAGTTAAGGAGACTCACATTTCAGTCTATCCTGATCACTATCATGTTATTTACCAGAGTCCGGAATTAAACCTAAAACCACATAAGGATTGAGGAACTTTGTCGGTTTGCAGTTGTGATCCACATCCTTCTATCTCTCTCTCGCTAAAACCCTAATGTCCAAATCTGATTGGCTACATGTTATCATCTTTTATGTATATTCTTCTGTGCATCATTTTTAAAAGGGGTGGCTGACTTGTCCTGCTTTTTAACCCCCTTCCCAGAAGGTTCGTCGGTCTCCAGCTCCTATTTTCTCTTAAATAAGGCACGCATATTCTTCTCTGTATATATATGTATGTACACACACAGAGTTCCAGAGTCCAGTCAATGTATCTGATCTCCTTACGAGTTTTCACGGGTGTAAGATACTCTGCTATCTTTCTTAGTTATTCCAGAAGTTTCAGCCGCTTTTATTTATTCAATTATTGTGTGTTCAATTCAATTTATTTTCCTGTTCATAACCTGTTCGCTGGTTTGTGCAAAGTCTGAATCTTGCTATCTGTTTCTGGGTATTTTCTCAATTGCCCAATTGGGTCGAGTTCTTCATAACCGAGATTCCATTTTTCATTTCACTTTCAATTCTCCATAGAATCAGTTCCAAAATCTCACATCCCAGTTGGGTTTCTTGAAAATTTGAAAAATCTGATTTGGGATTGTTGAAAAGTTGAAACTTTATGGATACCCTTCTTGAAAGATATGATGTTTCCATGGAAAGATTCAATTTTGGGTCAGTCTATCCTCATCAAAATCTTGTAAATGGGTTCAAAGTGAATCATGAATCCACCAATTCAATTTTCCCTCCAACAAACTTGGATCATAATTCTAGTGATTCAAGCCCTTATTCGAGCGCTGGTTCAGATGGAGATTCTATTGACCCTAATGATTTCAATCATCCGATGCTCAAGTACATAAGCGATATTCTTCTGGAAGAAGATTTGGAGGGTAAACCTTGCATGATGCAGGACTGTTTGGCCCTCCAAGCTGCTGAGAAGTCTTTCTTTGATGTCCTTAATCCGAAGGGTCCCCCTTCGCCAAACCAACCCCCTTTGTCCCATAGCCTTGAGAATTCGGATGATGATTCCACCCCGAGTTTTCATAGCGGTGATGGCTCCTCTATTGCTGCTAAGACAGAATGGGGTTTTGATTCTTCAGAAACCTCCCATTTCCAATCTTCTCTTGTTGAGTCTCAATCGGATAACCTTTTGGTTTCGGATTTGCTTTCTGAGCCGCAAAGTTCTGAGCATTTCGGAGGTGTAGGGGAAGCAAGCAAGTTCCTCCCAAATGGAAGTTTTGGAACTTTTAACCAGGAGAGGCACCACTTGATGCATCCAGGTCCTGATCTGTGGCCTCCGGGGACTCGCACACTGGTGAGGAGGCCGGAGAATGATGGGTACAACTCAACAAATATATTGAAGGGAAAAAAGAATCATCAAAGGGAGGATGTTGATTATCCAGAAGAAGGGAGGAGCAGCAAGCTGCCAGTTGCTTTTGCTGATGACTCTGAGCCGCCGCAAGAAATGTTTGATGAAGTGTTGCTCTGTCATGGGCATCATCGTCTGGGTAACAAGCAGTCAAAAGGGGCTAAAACAACGCGTTCAAAGAAACAGAATAACAACACGGAAATAGTTGATTTGAGAACATTGCTAACCCAATGTGCACAAGCTGTGGCAAACTATGACCAACGAACTGCAAGTGAACTACTCCAGAAGATACGGCACCACTCTTCCCCCTGTGGTGATGCAAACCAGAGATTAGCTCATTACTTTGCTGATGGCCTAGAGGCACGCTTGGCTGGCGCCACAACCCCAACGTACTCTTTTCTTGTTGGTACACAAACATCAACTGCTGAAATATTAAAAGGTTATCAGGTGTTTATTTCTTCATCCCCTTTCAAACTCATGTCAAATTTCATGGCCAACAGAACGATTATGAAACTCTCAGAAAACGCAACAAGGCTTCACATTATTGACTTTGGTATTTCGTATGGTTTCCAATGGCCCTGCTTTATCCAACATCTCTCGGAGAGAACTGGTGGACCGCCTAAGCTTCGTATCACAGCAATTGAGCTTCCCCAACCAGGTTTTCGACCTACAGAAAGAGTTGAAGAGACTGCGCGTCGGTTGAAAAAATATGCTGAGAGATTTAATGTTCCATTTGAGTGCAATGTCATTGCTCAGAAATGGGAGACAATCAAATTTGAGGATCTTAAAATTGACAGAAGTGAGCTGACTGTGGTCAATTGTATGTGCCGTTTAAAGCATATACCTGATGAGACGGTGATGGCAAGCAGTCCAAGAGATATTGTGCTGAAGTTAATCAAGAAAATTAATCCAGACGTTTTCATTCATGGGGTTGTCAATGGGACATACAATGCACCCTTCTTTGCCACACGGTTCAGAGAGGCACTTTACCACTACTCTGCATTCTTTGATATCTTTGAGGCCACTGTTCCCCGCGAAGATGAAATGCGTCAGTTGTTTGAAAAAGCAATTCACGGTAGAGACATAGTGAATGTTGTAGCTTGTGAGGGACTGGAAAGAGTTGAAAGGCCTGAGACATACAAGCAGTGGCAGGTTCGGACCGTGAGGGCTGGGTTCAAGCAGCTCCCACTAGACCAAGCTCTTTTGAAGCGAGTGAAGAAAATGTTGAAGTCTTATCATGATGATTTTAGGATTGACGAAGACGGGAACTGGATGTTGCAGTCATGGAGAGGAAGAACTATCTTGGCTCTTTCAATTTGGGTGCCGGCCTAGGCAACTATTACAATCTTTATTCTCTTTGTTGTTGAATTTTTTGTGTAATATTCCATCCAGGGACAAGGGTGTGCATACTGCTTTGTTCTTGGTTTTATGAGTTTATTGTTTATTTTTCATTTATTCATTGCTGCCTATGGGAGCTTGATCTTGGATATGTAATATTTTGAACCTGTTCTTGATAAATACACTCTTTTGCCAACATATGGTTGTTAAACGCTTAACTCTTCTTATGACTTGAAATTCTTAGGACATTTTAGTGTTTACGATTGGATTGGATTGGATTGGATAACTCACTACACCTAAGGTACGTTGAAGTAAGAAATACAAGTGTACTTTTCCATTTTGTCTAAGTTGAGGGAATTCGGTAGATTAGTCACTAAGGAAATTCATTCCTTTCAATTCCCATAAATTGGTAGGATTGGATTTGGGGATATGCTCTTTTTAGAACTAATCTCTCTTTTGCCTTCAGCTTGGACTCTTGAATCTACAGTGTTATCCAATCTAATCTAATCATAACGCCAAATGTGGGAATGCCTAAAAACAGTGAATCAAATTAGGGGTGGGCAAACGAGTACAGGAACCGTGGGTCAGGGAGGGTAATTAAGGTTCGGGGAAGGTACGGGCCAGTTCCTATTTTGTAAAAACAGAAACAGGGAGGGATGAGCCTTTGAAATTTTTGGTTCAGGCCAGTCCTGAAGTATAGGAACCGTGGGTACCTGGACCGGCCCGTTTGTAGTTAGAATGGACGGATGAGATTGAAGAGATCATCTCTCCATCTAATCTAAATCGTTGGTTTTAAGTTTGCTTGTCCTCAAACTTATCGAATTCAACTGTCACTCTCACTCTGTCGATCGAGTCTCTCTCGCCGTCTCCAGTGCGTCGTCCTCTTCCCTCCACCACCTCGATAGCACGATCGCCCAGGCGACCACCATCTTCTTGATTTGTCACTTCTCTCTCAACGTCTCGATTTGACTTCCTAAGGACCCAGACTTACATAACCCAGCCACCCTACCACTCATCTTCTCGATTTGTCACCTCTCATTCGTCGTCTCGAGTGCGTCGTCCCCTCCCCTTATTGAGGATGATGGGATTAAGATCCTGCAAGTTTACTCCAAGGAGATCAGCAAGCACATGCTCGACACCATCAAGTCCAGGAATGTCGTTGCTTTCGCTGCTCAAAACGGTGCCACGGAGTCCGAGACTGCGAGCTCTGCAGTTGAATCTACTGCTGCTGAGGATGCTAAGGCAGAAGAGTATTGATCTCTCAATGTGTGTTAGGTCACTCTTAGCTTCGTATTAGGGCTTTCATATCAAGATTTGTTAGTATTTATTAAGGATTTCTTGTGATGCCTATATACCTAATGATCTGCTAAATATTTAAACTTTGTTAATTTCACTATGCGCTTCAATTTTCTGTGGATTATATCATCTGGGTTTCTGTTGTGAGTATTGATCTACTGAGTCTTGATCTGCTTTGTTCGGAGATGTTTATGCTCAAGATTTATATGGAAATAGGTTTTGGAATTGGAATTTTTTCAAAATCTTTCCTCTTGCATTATCTGGGTTTCCTATTGCATAATCTATGCAATTTGTGTAAATTCCAGTTTTTTTATATTTTTCAAAAAAATAAAAAAAACCAAGGACCCATGGACCCGACCTGAACCGGTCTGTTTCAACCGAGCCGGGTAAAGTCCAGTTCCTATATAAGAAAATGTAATCCTTGACTCGGCCCGACCCGTCTCCTTTGCACCTGGGTCCGGTCCTGTCCCTTCAAATTTGGGCCTAGCCTGACCCGTGCCCACCCCTAAATCAAATACAAATTATTACTTCAGAAAGAAAAAGAACTCTGCAGTCAAAGTGTCAAACTTCTATAAAGCTTGATAATCAATGATTAAAAAAGCCAAAATCTATGGCAGCAATGAAGAAAATTGCAACTTAAACAGAAAAAAAAAACCTAAAAATTGTTATACTAGTTGTTGGTGAATTCATATGGTCATAGAACGATATTATTCGTTATAGGCTTACCATTCCTTCACAGTTTTGTTTTTGGGTTTCGGCACGAGAACTTCTCAGGAGGGTCACCTATTCTAGGATTGCTCTCGCCCAAACTAACTTAACTTCGGAGTTCTTATGGGATCCGAAGCCAGTGAGTTCCCAAAACGCGTCTTGCAAATGGGAGGTGAGCATGTACATATAAGGCATAGAGGATCCTCTCCCCTAGACGATGTGGGATCTCACAATCCACCCCCTTAGGGGCCCGATGTCCTCCTCGGCACACCCACACCGAATGACAGAGTGGCTCTTGCAAGACGCGTTTTGGGAATTCACTGGCTCCGAATCCCATAAGAACTTCGAAGTTAAGTGAGTTTGGGCGAGAGCAATCCTAGGATGGATGACCCCCCGATTTTGTTTCTGGGTTTCAGCACGAGAACTTCCCGGGGGGTCACCCATCATAGGACTGCTCTCGCCCAAAGTCACTTAACTTCTGAGTTAGTATGGGATCCAGAACTAGTGAGTTCCCAAAACGTGTCTTGCAAATGGGAGGTGAGCATGTACATATAAGGCATATAGGATCCTATCCCCTAGGTGATGTGGAATCTCACAATCCACCCCCTTAAAGGCTCGATGTCCTCCTCGGCACACCCGCACCGAACAGCAGAGTGGCTTTGATACCAAATTGTCACATCCCAGCTCAGCTCCGCCGTAGCACGATATTGTCCGCTCTAGGCTTACCATTCCCTCACGATTTTGTTTTTGGGTTTCAGCACGAGAACTTCCCAGAGAGGTCACCCATCCTAGAACTGCTCTCACCCAAACTCACTTAACTTTAGAGTTCTTGTGGAATCCAGAGCCAGTGAGTTCCCAAAAGGCCTCGTGCTATAGGGAGGGGAGCATGTACATACAAGGCACATCATCCCCTCTCTGTTAGTTGATGTGAGATCTTACATCATAGCAGAAGCAAAATATGACTGATTAGAATTTTCTAGGTTTTACTTTTAGTACCCTTATTTTTATTTATTTGTTTTGTATTGGTTGTAATCAAATTTCAATCTTTTCATACCTTATAATTGACACGGTCAATTTTCACCCTTGCAAAAACTTTGAATAGAAAATTATGTTGGGAACCCAGGAAAGGTATAGATTGACAGGCAAGGACTTACCTAATTTGTTGATTGGCCCCTGCAAAGTTGATTTTTATGTTTATGGTCCAATTGACTCTTGACCACCCACCTACCATGACAGGAGTTAAAGCAGCCTTACTCTATAATCTATATGGACTGCAATTTTATTAAAATTTGACTACTGACTTTGTCAAACTTTTGAATTCAGACCTTGCCAGAAGTTTCATTAAAATATGCAGTATGATGATGTTTCCGCAGATTTTATTTTAAAATAAAAAATAGCATCTGTCTGATCAGTGTACTGTTCCACAAGTAATCAGGTACTCTGCAATATTTCTTAGTTTTTCCTTCTTTAATTCCTTTTTTTATTTATCAATTCCAAATTTCATCACTTTTGAGCCTTGAAAATTAAGAATTTTGAGCTAATCCTGCTAGATAGTTTGTTTTCATGGATATTGAAAGATTTTCTGCCCCCACTGAAGGATTTGAATTCGGCAATGGCTCGAATTCAGTCTGTTCTGATGAGAATCTTGCAGATGGGTTCAAAGAGAATCATGAATCCACCAACCCAAATTCCCTTCCATCCAACTTAGATCATCCTAGTGTTTCAAGAACTTCTTTGAGCGCGGGTTCGGATGCTGATAATATCGACATCAGTGATTGCAATCAACCTGTGCTCAAGTACATAAGTGATATTCTTCTGGAGGAAGATTTGGAGGGTAAGGCCTGCAAGTTGCAGCAATCCTTGGCCCTCCAAATTGCTGAAAAATCTTTTCATGATGCCCTTAATTCGGAAAACCCTCCTTTACTCAACCAACCCACTTTTTCTGTGTACCAAAGCTTTGAGAATTCCGATGTCGGTTTTCATAGCAGTGATGGCTCTATTGCCAGTTTTTATAGCAGTAATGGCTATATTTCTGCTAATAGCGGCTGTGGTTGGGATGTTTCACAACTCTGTCATGTCCAGTCTTCACTCTTTGAGCCTATATCGGATACCCTTAACGTTCCGGATTCGTTTTCTGTAGAGGAAGGAATCAAGTTCGTTCCAAAAAAAAGTTGTGAAATCATTGACCCTAAGAGGGACCAGTTAGTGCCTTCAGGTTCTGATCAGTGGCCTCCAGGTCCTTGCAAACTGATTGGGAATTTGGCATCGAAGAATGGCTACAACTCAACAAATGGATCAAAGGGAAAGAAGAATCATCAGCGGGAGGATGGCTATGACACAGAAGAAGGAAGAAGAAACAAGCAGTCAGCTGCTGCTTGTGACAGTTCTGATCTGCAAGAAATATATGATACGGTACTACAGAGTGTGAACCATGAACCTGACTCTTGTTCTCATGATGAACCTTCGCAATCCAAGGGAAATGGGATGTTGCAGCATAAGAAGCAGTCAAAAGGATCAAAAGCATCACGTGGAAAGAAACAAAACAGCAACGGGAAGGTAGTAGACCTGTACAAACTGCTAACTGAATGCGCAGAAGCTGTGGCATGCTATGACCAACAAGCTGCAAATGAACTACTCAAGCAGATAAGGCAGCACACTTCGCCCTACAGTGATTCAACCCAGCGATTAGCTCATTACTTCGCTGATGGCTTAGAGGCGCGGTTGGCTGGTGCCAGAAACCCGTCATATTGCCCTCTTATAATGATGCACATACCAGAAGCCGAAATCTTAAAGGCTTACCAGGTGTATGTTACTGCATGCCCTTTCAAGAAGATGGTGCACTTCTTTGCCAACAGAACAATTATGAAAACAGCAGAGAAGGCGACAAGGCTTCACATTATTGATTTCGGCATTTCTTATGGTTTGCAATGGCCCTGCCTTATCCAAAGTCTCTCAGAGAAAACTGGCGGGCCTCCTAAACTTTGTATCACATTAATTGAGGTTCCCCAACCAGGCTTTCGACCTGCCGAGATAATTGAAGAGACGGGGCGTCGCTTAACTAAATACTGTGAGAGGTATAATGTCCCATTTGAGTACAATGTCATTGCTAAGAAATGGGAAACCATTCAATTGGAGGATTTTCGTATTGACAGAAATGAGGTGACCGTGGTTAACTGCATGCACCGGTTGAAGCAAATTCCTGATGAAACAGTGATGGCGAACAATCCAAGAGATGCTGTCTTAAATTTGATCAAGAGAATCAATCCAGACCTTTTCATGCACGGAGTTGTCAATGGAACATACAATGCGCCCGCCTTTGTCACACGGTTCAAACAGGCGCTCTTCCACTTCTACACATTCTTTGATATGTATGAGGCCACTGTTCCACGCGAAGATGAACAAAGAATGTTGTTTGAAAGAGCAATATTTGGGAGGGACATAATAAATGTTGTAGCGTGCGAGGGGCAGGAGAGAGTTGAAAGGCCGGAGACATACAAGCAGTGGCAGGCTAGGTATGCGAGGATCGGGTTCAAGCAGCTGCCGTTAGACCGAGCGCTCTTGAAGAAAGTGAAGACCATGTCGAAGGTGATGGGGTATCATAGTGATTTCCTAATTGAAGATGATGGCCAGTGGATGCTGCAGGGATGGAAAGGAAGAATCGTCTTAGCACTTACTGCTTTGAAGCCTGCGTAGGAGTTTCACTTTGTGATGCATAAAATCTGTATTTTCTTGTATCTTCAATATTTCCTGTACGTCTCGTTTACTCACTAGGTTCAATCAACATATTGAATGAAGAAACGGATGTTACCTTTCAAATCTTGTTTAAATTGAAGGAAATGTTTTTACTTTTACCTGTTACTAGTCAATAGCAGCAGGGAGGCTGCTATTGCTGTTTACACGTTAGCACGATTGCAAGTGGTTTCCAGCCGAAACAAGGTTCTAAAATACGCTAAGCGCTGCTCAGGCGTTATGCAGGGGCTAGCGCCTAGGCGTTTAGGTAGGACCTAGCGGTTTTTTTAATTAATTAAATTTATTACCTAACATATAAATAAATAACTATTTATACTTAAAAAATACATAATTGTATTGGGATACATAAATTGCCAAATAAAATGACATGTAGATTATAAAGTATTAAAACATATCGAAAACACGGAAAACAAACATATAATGAGTATTTATTCAAGTATTCAACAAGTCTCCTATAATTTATTGAAAAAATAAAATGCAAAACGAAAGTTCTCGATTTTCTGTCTAAATGAGAGTCACGGTTTAGGCATATGCGCCTAGGCATATCTAGACGTTCTTTTTTAATTTTCAAACGTCCATGAATTAATCAAAAAGATGGTCAGCCGTTAGCGTCTATTAAAATACAAATTAGCGTGGTGAATATTTAAAGTTAAGACAATAATAATCCCACGCGGATTTACACATATTGTTGTTTTAGCCCAAGTGCAGTTCATCTTTACGCTTAGGGTCTTTTTCACTATATATGTCTATATGGTTTTTCCCATTTTGTTTAGAAGGTGGCGGCTGATTTTGTCCTATATTAGGAGGAAGGACCTCCCCCAGATGAATGTTTCATTACTGTGAACAGGTTTATATATCCCTCCACTGACGCTCTGATTCATTTTGATTTTAGACATACAGAACAAAGAGTGAAGAATTTCAGGTTTTAATTTTCATTCGAGCGATATTCTAACTAATCAAATCTCAACTACAGCGAAGTGGATTTGAACGTTCGGACGAGAAGAGAAGTGAGCACACTGTTTTAACCAATTTCAGTATGTCTAGATATTCTCTTCTTTTTTTTTCTTGTTTAATCTTATTTGTGTTCATAATCTGCTAGCTGATATTTTCTCTCTCTCTCTCTCTCTCTCTCAATTGGCTGCAGTTCTTGCTTTCCAAAGCTTCCTGATCATCATTTCCAAAATTCCAACACCACAGCTGAGGTTCTTCAAATCTAAGAAACCAGACGAGTTCCTGCTAAATTAATTGTTTTTATGGATACCCTTTTTGAAAGATTTTATGTTCCCATGGAAAGATTCACTGTTGGTCAGGGATCTAATCAAAATCTTGGAAATCATGAATCCACCAATCCAATTTTTCTTCCAACAAACTTGGACCACAATCATAGTGATTCGAGCTCGTCCCAGAATCTTGTAAATGGATTCCAAGTGAACCATGAACCCACCAATACACTTTTCCTTCCGCCCAACTCAGACCATCCAAGTGAATCCGAGTTTTCGAGCTCGGGTTCAGATGGAGATACTTTTGATATTAGTGTTTGCAATCATCCCGTGCTCAAGTACATAAGCGATATTCTTTTGGAAGAAGATTTGGAGGGTAAGCCCTGCATGTTGCAGGACTGCTTGGCCCTCCAAGCTGCCGAGAAATCTTTCTATGATGTTCTTAAACCGAAGGGCCCTTCGTCCAGTCAATCCCCTCTTCCGGTGGACCGAAGCTTTGAGAACTCAGATGATGATTTCAAAGAGAGTTGCCATATTAGTATTGGCTGTGTTGCTGCTAGGACAGACTCGGTTTCGGGTTCAGAAATCTCTCATATCCAATCTTGTCCGGTTGAGTCTTCATCGGATGCCTACAACTCAACATATAGATTGAAGTCAAAGAAAAATCACCTGAGGGAGGATGGCGATTATACAGAAGAAGGGAGAAGCAACAAACAGTCGGCTGCTTCTGCTGATGGGCCCGAGCCACAAGAAATGTTTGATGAGGTTTTGCTGTATAAGGATGCGAGGCGTGCGTTTGAGTCTTGTTCTGATGATCAGTCTGTCAAAACTGACGGAAGTGGGAAGTTGAAGTGCAACAAGCAACCAAAAGTTTCTAAGGCAGCACGCTCGAAGACAAAGAATAAGAACAGGGAAGTAGTAGATTTGTGCACAATGCTGACTCAATGCGCACAAGCTGTGGCAAGCTATGACCAGCAAACAGCGAGTGAACTAATCAAGAAGATAAGGAAGCACTCTTCTCCCTATGGTGAGGCAACCGAGAGATTAGCTTATTACTTTGCTAACGCCCTAGAGGCGCGGTTGGCTGGCTCCAGAACCCCCTCATATTCTCCTCTTTTAAGTCCGCAGACACCAGCTACCGAAATCTTAAAAGCTCACCAGGTGTATATTACTTCATGCCCTTTCATGAAGATGATGTACTTCTTCGCCAATAGAACAATTATGAAACTGGCGGAAAATGCTACGAGGCTTCACATTATTGATTTTGGTATTTCGTATGGTTTCCAATGGCCATGCCTTATCCAACGCCTCTCGGAGAGATGTGGTGGACCTCCTAATCTTCGTTTCACAGCAATTGAGCTCCCCCAACCAGGTTTTCGACCTACTGAAAGGGTTGAAGAGACAATGCGTCGCTTAGAAAAATATGCTAAGAGATTCGTTGTCCCATTTGAGTATAATGTCATTGCTCAGAAATGGGAAACTATCCGATTTGAGGATCTTAAAGTTGACAGGAATGAGCTGACTGTTGTTAACTGTATGCGCCGATTAAGGCACATACCTGATGAAACAGTCGTGATGAGCAGTCCGAGAGACACTGTCCTTAACTTGATCAAGAAAATAAATCCAGATCTTTTCATTCACGGAGTTGTCAACGGGACATACAATTCGCCCTTCTTTGTCAAGCGGTTCAGAGAAGCACTCTTCCATTACTCTTCGCTGTTTGATATGTTTGAGGCCACTATTCCTCGCGAAGATGAACACCGGCTGATGTTTGAAGGAGCAGTATATGGTAGAGACATAATGAATGTTATAGCATGCGAGGGGATCGAACGAGTTGAAAGGCCGGAGACATACAAGCATTGGCAGGTTAGGTATCAGCGGGCAGGGTTCAAGCAGGTGCCGCTAGACCAGGAGCTCATGAGGAAAGTGAAAGCTATGCTGAAGTTGATGCGCTATCACAACGATTTTCGAATCGATGAAGATGGCCACTGGATGCTGCAGGGATGGAAAGGAAGAATTGTCATGGCTCTTTCTGCTTTGAAACCTGCTTAGGAGTTTCACAATGTGGTGCCCAAAATTTGTTTTCTCTTTGAATTATATCTTATAGCTTCTTTTTCACTCTAAATTTTCTCTTATCCATCTCTGCCTATGGAGCTTGATCAAACTTCTTATCAATTGCCTATAATTTGTATATCAATTTCCTATAATTTGTATATCAATTTCGTATAATTTACTACGTGTATATTCAATGCACTAGTTACGCTATAATATTGGTATACTAGCACACATGGTAAATAAGTTTGATAGAAAGTATGACTTATCACTTATGGTGAGAATTGTAGTTTGTTGACAAACGATACGACCAGTTAGAAAAAAATGCGAATTATCGTGAAAGAATGTGTTGATGTATAGAGCAAGCATCCAACGCAAATCCCATAAATTCCGGACACAGACACAAAGCTGGTGGGTGGCTGCTGACTTTGACTAACCTTAAGAGTTAAAGAATAAAGGCTAAAGACTTAAAAGACCTTCCCGGAAAGTTAATGTTCATGCATGTATGAATGAAGAAACAAAGGATAATCACTACATATATATAATTTTTGTATATGCCTGCAATCAAATTTTATAATCCACTGTTGCTTTTTTCTCAGGTGTGAAGTATTTTGCAACTCAAAAGACCAAGAGGTACTCTGAGAATTGTCAATTTTTGTTTGTTCAAATCTTGATTCTGTTCATAACCTGTTGGATGATGTTCCACAACCTCAAATCTGTATATATTTCTTGAGTATTTCTCACTCACCCAATTGGATTGATATCTTATTTTCTGAGTGAATTGCATAATATAAGATTGAAATTATATCACTTTCTTGTTTTCCCCAACTTTTCTTGGCCATCAGTTCCAAAAATCCAATATCTCAATTGGGTTTTCTTGAAAAACCTGATAAATCTGACCAGTTTCTGCTAAATTGGTTGTTTTTATGGATACCCTTTTTGAAAGATCATCAAGTCCCATGCAGAACTTCCAATTTGGTTCTACTCAATTCCAAGTGAATCATGAACCCACCAATCCACTTTTCCTTCCAACAACCCCTGAGCATCCAACTGATTCCGGGTGTTCGAACCCGGGATCAGATGGAGATTCTTTTGACATGAGTGACTGTAATCATTCGGTGATCAAGTACATAAGTGATATTCTTCTGGAAGAAGATTTGGAGGATCAGCCTTGCATGTTGCAGAACTGTTTGGCCCTCCAAGCTGCTGAGAAATCTTTCTATGATGTCCTTAATCCGAAGGATCCTCCTTCGCCTGACCAACCGCCTCTTCCGGTGTACCAAAGCTTTGAGCACTCAGATGATGATTCCTCACAGAGTTATAGCAGTAATGATTCTGTGGCTGCTAAGACAGACTCGGTTTTCGATTCTTCAGAAACCCTTTTGGTTTCAAACTCAACTTCTGGGAATTTTGGAGGAGTTGGGGAGGCAGGAAATCTCGTTCCAAACCTGAAACATGGAATTATTGACTTGGAGAGGTACCAATTAGTTCCCCCGGGCGATAACACACTGAGGAGGAATTCCGCACCGGAGCCAGAGAATGATGGCTACATCTCAGCAAACAGATTGAAGGGAAAGAAGAATCATCAAAGGGAGGATGGTGATTATGAAGATGGAGGGAGAAGCAACAAGCAGTCAGCTGCTTTAGGCGACGACACTGAGCCACAAGAAATGTTTGATAGGGTATTACTCTGTCATGTGAATCATACGCATGGGTCTTGTATTCGTGACAAACCTTTGAGCAGTGAGGGAAGTGAGAAGTTGCAGCCTAACAAGCAGTCAAAAGGGTCTAAAACAACACGCTTGAAGAAACAGAATAACTACCGGGAA